CCCCCCCCAGTGCCCCGCCCAGCACAGGTACACCCCTCCAGTACCCCCCCCAATGCCCCGCCCAGTACAGGTACACCCCTCCAGTACCCCCCCCAATGCCCTGCCCAGGACAGGTATGCCCCTCCCAGTATCTGTACACCCCTCCAGTACCCCCCCAATGCCCTTCCCAGTACACGTACATCCCTGCAGTACCCGTACACCCCTCCAATACCCCCCCAATGCCCCACCCAGTACAGGTACACCCCTCTAGTACCCCCCATATCCTTCCCAGTACACGTATGCCCCTCCAGTACCCCCCATGCTCCACCTTGTGCACTTATCCAGTACCCTTCCCAGTACACATACACCCCTCCAGTACCCCCACTCCATACCCCGCCCAGTGCCCTCACCCGGTACCCTTCCCAGTATACGTACACCCCTCCAGTACCCCCCCAATGCCCCGCCCAGTACAGGTACACCCCTCCAGTACCCCCCCAATGCCCCACCCAGAACTGGTACACCCCTCCAGTACCCCCCTAATGCCCCTCCCAGTACAGGTACACCCCTCCAGTATCCCCCCATACCCTTCCCAGTACACGTATACTCCTCCAGTACCCCCACCCCATACCCCGCCCAGTGCACTCACCCGGTACCCTTCCCACTACACGTACACCCCTCCAGTACCCCCCTAATGACCCTCCCAGTGCACTCACCCAGTACCCTTCCCAGTACATGTACACCCCTCCAGAACCCCTCCCTTATACCCTTCCCAGTACACGTACACCTCTCCAGTACCCCCCCCATACCCCGTCCAGTACACTCACCCGGTGCCCTTCCCAGTACAGGTACACCCCTACAGTACCCCCCTAATGCCCCGCCCAGTGCACTCACCCAGTACCCTTCCCAGTACATGTACACCCCTCCAGTACCCCTCCAATGCCCTGCCTGGTACCCATATACCCCTCCAGTACCCCCCCCTCCCCCACCCATTACAGGTACACCCCTCCAGTACCCCCCTAATGACCCTCCCAGTGCACTCACCCAGTACCCTTCCCAGTACATGTACACCCCTCCAGTACCCCTCCAATGCCCTGCCTGGTACCCATATACCCCTCCAGTA